TATCTCCACCATATTTCTCTTACAACAAATACTAAATGAAGTTCTCCAAGCTGAAGCAAAAAGACATCAATGAAAAACAACAACAACAACAGCAAAAAGCATAGGAAAGTATAAAAATCCTGGAAAGAATAATTATATAAACAAATTCAGGATGTGTTTTATACTATAGGCATAGTGTGCAAATACTTTATATTTTAATATGAAGACTAAAAACCAAAACAATTAAAAATAGGTATATTATTATCTTAAGAGATAGACAATATAGAAAGAAAATATTTCATGAAAGTTGAAACTAGGGAAGAAACATAGTATAATTTTATTTTTTATTTTTTATTTTTTCATGAAGTTTATTGGCACATTGAAAGCAAACAATACAGTTACATTTATCATTGGAATCGTCAACTTTTATTTGATAAATCTTGGTTCTTGTTTTTTGCCCATATAACTGCCCTCCCTTCACTCCCTTCACCCTTCTCTATTTACAAAGACTTTGTTTTCTTTTTTTCATTTTTCATGTTTTCTTTTCCCTTATTTCCTTTCCACTCCCCTTCCCACTTCCCCTTTAGCTATTTTCTTTCTGTTTCACACTCCCGATTATACCATTTGAACCTTATTTACACTTTGAGTTTTTCACACCAGAGAAACTATTTGGTATTTACTCGTGTGTCCTATTTATTTCACTTGAGTAGAGCCTCAGTGTTCACCCGTTTAGCTATGTTTCTAGTTTCTCATTCTTTATAGCTGAGTAGTACTCCATTTTATAGAAAAACCACATCTTCTTTATCTGGTCTCCAGTTGATGAGCATTTGGGTTGTTTCTGAGTTTTAGCTATTACGGACTGTGCAGCTATAAACATGGGTGCATTCTTTTGATTCTTTTGGAAAGATACCCAGCAGAGGGATAGCTAGGTCAAATGGAACCTGTAATCCTAGTTCTGTGAGGTATCTCCATATTGATTTCCACAGTGGTTGCACCAGTCTGCACTCCCACCAAAACGGAGAAGGATTCCTTTCTCCCCACAGCCCCACCAGCATTTGTTATTGGTTGATTTCTTGATAGCAGCCATTCTTTCTGGGGTAAGGTGGAATCTCAATGTTGTTTTTATCTGCACCTCTCAAATGACCAGTGACATTAAACTTTTTTTCATATATTTATTTGCTCCTTTTACTTCTTTTCTGAGACATGTCTGTTCATTGCAGCTGCCCATTTTTGAATTGGGTGTTTGTATTTGGGGGGCGGTCTGGTTTTTTTTTAGTTCTTTATATAGGTAGTCCTCTCTCTGAGGAGTAGTTGGTAAAATTTTTCCCCACATCATAGGTTGTCTCTTAGCTGTATTAGTGATTTATCTTGCACTGCAAAAACTTTTTAATACTTTTAAAAATTTTTAATGAGATCCCAATTGTTATTCTTTGTTCAAGTTCTCGTGCTGGTATTTGTTCATAAAGTCTTCTATGTCAGTGTCTTCAAGAGTTCTAACTAACTTAATTTCCAGTAAATTTAGTGTTTCTGTTTTGATATTTAGATTTTTAATCCACTTGGATTTTAGTTCAGTACATAGTGAAAGACAGGGACCTAGTTTTAATTCTTGCAAGTTGAAAGCCAGTTTTTACAATGCCATTTATTAAAGAGGATATCTTTCCTCCAGTGATGATGGTTGGCTCCTTTGTCAAAGATGAGGTAGCTGAGTATATCTGGTGTTGTTTCTGTATCTTCTAATCTATTCCACTGATCTTTTGGTCTGTTTCTTTGCCAGTATCATGCTGTTTTTATCACAGTGGCTTTGTCATATAGTTTCAAGTTGGGAATTGTGATACACTCTGCCATGTCTCTGTTTCCTAGAATTGTTTTTGCTATTCTGGGTCTCTTCTGGTTCCAAATGAATTTTTGGATTGTTATCTAGTTCTGTGAAATATGCTCTTGGGATCTCAGTAGGGATTGGATTGAATCTGTATAGAGGTTTTGGAAGTATGTCCATTTTCACTATGTTGGTTCTTCCTATCCAGAAGCAAGGAATGTCTTTCCATCTTCTTATATGCTCTTTTTTCAGAGTGCTATTGGGGTTTAAGTGTAGAGGTCTTTTGTCTCCTTTGTTAGATTGATTCCTAGATATTTAATTTTTTTGGATGTTATTGTGAAAGGAATTGTTTCCTGAATTTCTCTCTCAGTGAGTCTTTTATTTGTGTACAAGAAGACAGTTGATTTTTGAGTGCTGACCTTGTATCCAGCTACTCTATTGAACCTGTCAATTAAGTCTAGAAGTCTTTTGGCATAGTTTTTTGGATCTTCTATGTAGAGTATCATATCATCAGCAAATAGTGACAGTTTAACTCCTTCCTTTCCTACCTTTATTGCTTTTATTTCTTTCTCTTGGCTAATTGCTGTGGGTAATATTTCTAGAACTATATTGAATAGGAGTGGTGACAATGGACATCCTTTTCTTGTTCCTGGTTTTAGCATGAAGTTTTTAGTTTTTGACTATTTAGAATGATATTGGCTGTTGATTTTTCATAGATAGACTTGATCAGGTTGAGATAAAGACCATCTATTTCAATTTTCTGTAGGGATGTTTATCATGAATGTGTTGAATTTTGTTAAATGCTTTTTCTGCATTTATTGAGAACCACCATATGATCCAGTAATCCCACTACTGATTATATATTCAAAGGTCATTAAATCAGTACGTTGAAGAAAGTTCTGCCCTCCCATGTTCATTGCAGCACTACTTGCAATAGTGAATGACCAAGAAGAGGAAGCAACCTAAGTGTTCATCAGATGATGAAAGAGTAAAGAAAATGTGTGTGTGTGTGTGTATAAAATGGAATATTATTTTTCCATAAAATGAATGATATTATGTCATTTGTGGTAACATGGATGGAATTGGATAGCATAGTGATAGAAGCCAAGCACAGAAAGACAAGTACTGTGTGATCTTGCTCACACAGTACTGTATGTGGAATCTCAAAAAGTGGATCTCAAAGAGGTTGAGAGCAGGATGGTGGTTTCCAAAGGGTAGGGGAGAGTAGGAGAGGGGACAGAGGGGTAAAAAAACGCTGATCAGTAGGTACTAAATTACAATCAGATAGGGGCAAGATGTTCTGGTGTTCTTTCACACGGTACGGTGGATATAGGGAACAGTAATGTACTGTACATTTCAAAAAGCAAGAAGAAAGGATATTGAAGGTTTCCACCATAAAGAAATAATAAGTAAGGGCTGAAGTTTTAGCTTAATGATGCTCCCACCTGCCTCACAAGTGCAAGTCCCTGAATTTGATCCCCAGTGCAAAAAAAAAAAGATAACAAATAAAAAGAATTGAGATGTGTTACATATATGTACCAACTCCCCAGAATGAATGTAGTCATTATGTAATAAAAATATACTAATTAAAATAAAAATTTAAAAATGAAATGGTAAATGAGGAGACATATGTTTAACTTAATTTAAACATTATGCAGTGTATATATATATATATATATATATATGTGTGTGTGTGTGTGTGTGTGTGTGTGTATAAACATATATATATATGTGGCGATGCATTATCAAAGCACTACATGACAGCCCATGAAAATATAATTTTATGTTTTTATGTATCTATTAAAAATAAATTAAAAACCCAAGCATAAAAAGATAACATATAGGCTAAAAGTATAGCTGTCCTCTGAGAACTCAGGACCTTTTATTCTGTAAATTAAAGAAAAGAAAGCTTGTAAACAAGACAACATGGGAATGTCAAAGGCACAAAACAATCACTTATATACAAGTATTTTTACAGTATGTTTGTTAGGCTCTGTGAAATGAATATACGTCTGTTACCGCACTCTAAATTTACTTACTCATATCATTTTTAAGTCACAAAGTTCCCAAAATAATATAATTACTAAATATAATCTATAATATATAATTAATCAAGTTAATTGATTAATTAAATTTTGTTTAATCACAATATCTTTTTCTTTTGAGACTATGGAGCTAATACTATTTTTATCCATTCTATTCAGTAGGTGCAGTAGGTAGAATTCTAAATGATCTTCTAAGATTTCATGCCCACAAATCCCCATTGTCTGTGAATATGGTGAGTTATAAGGCACCATTGACCTTTTAAAGAGAGATTAAGATGTGAGGGTGATCTGGCTGTGATATCTGTCAGCCCATTGATCACCAAGGTTGATTCTGCTGATCTGTCTGGTTAGGCAAGTGTCCCCTTTCTTCCTCGCTGCGCCATGTGTGTCCCTCCTGAAGCTGAGTCAAGGAGGACGACCACCCCAGAAAGAGGAGCACCATTTCCTCCATCAAGGGTATACGAGTAGCTGTGCTCCTCTGCTGGAACCTCCAAACAGACTCTTAAAGGAGAGGCTATCTAGCTATGCCTAATGTCATCACATGAGCCCTTAAAGGCAGAGAGATTTCTCCTGTTAGTGGCAGAAGAGGAAGGCAGAGCGATTCCAAGCACAAGAATTTCATGTCCGGCTGCTGGCTTAAAGATGGAGGAAAGAAACCACATGATGATGAATGAGGGTGGTCTATGGAAACTGAGAATGGCCTTTGGCTGACAGCCAGCAAGAAAGGGAGACCTCAGACCTGCAGTAAAAGGAACTGGAATCTTCCAATAATTTGAATGCACTTGAGAGCAGATTCTTCCCTAGATTTTTTTGATAAGATCTCAGCCTAGCTGACACTTTGTCTTTGATTTTATGGGACCCTAAGTGGAGCCAGCCAAGACCACCAGCCTTCAGATCTACAGAACTGAGAGATAATAAATGGGTGCTGTAGCTTCTAAGTTTGTGGCAACTTGTCAAATAGTACTGGGTAAACGTGTCTGTTATGTCCAGGCAAATGGAACTCTTGGCTAAGTTATGAAATAAGTAAACTCTATGTGAAGTTTCATTCCAAATTTCATAATCTTATGGTTGCATCTTTGATCCCACTTGTTCTTTAGCACACATTCTAGTTTTTAGGACAGAGGAATAAGAAGGGGCATTTGTGTGTTCTTCTCCAACAGCCTGGAATGATGCTGCTCTTACCTGTGTATCTGCTGGTACAGACAGAATGTAGCTCCGTGAATGCTGAGGTGAAGTTCAGCTAGTGCCCGATGCAGTGAAATCACTCCAGACAAGTAAGATTTAACTCCACTTTCACTCACTCCTTGAAATTCTTTTCATTTGGTGGGATAAAATATATAAACAAAAATATATTAGAGGCTATTAAGACTGCATATTTCAGATGGAAAAAAAACCACTTCACTCTTAACTTCAAGGGCATTTTCAAAAGGTTACTGAGGAATGCAGCATTAGTTGCTAATGCATTTAAACAAATGTTGGGGAGAGTATGTGCTGCTTACATATTCATGAGGGAGCTGCCATTTGGACAAGTCTCAGTGTAAAGGAGAGGCGAAGTGGACCCAATCTGGCAGTTTGTCTCACCCTTCTGTGGAACTGGGACTGGGAGGGACCTCTTGCCCACACCTCTTACAAGCTTGATCTAGAGCAGAAGAATTATCTGCTTGATGTTTTTACTTTTATTTATTTATTTATTTATTTGTTTTTTTTGAGACAGGGTCTCACTATGTAGTTGAGACTGACCTGGAACTCACTAAGTACCCTAGCTAGGCTCGTCTCAAACTCACAGCTATCCTCCTGCCTCAGCCTCCCAAATGCTGGGATTGCAGGCGTGCACTACCACACCCAGCTTGTTTTTACTTTTTAATCTTCTAGTTATATGTGTGAAAAGAGGCAAGAGTACAAGCAAAAGCTCTATGTTTAGACCTGATCAATTAATGTGTTGATGTTACTCTTAAATGTGCTTGAAATGATACATCCTTCTGTGTACTGAATATAACCAGATGGGGATGAATCATAATTTCTGCCTCTTTTTAAAAATTATTAATTAGCTAGGTGTGGTGGTGCTTCCCTGTAATCCCAGCACTTGGGAGCCTGAGGCAGGAGGATCGCTGTGAGTTCAAGACCAGCCTGGGCTACATAGTGAGTTCCAGGTCAGTCTCAACTACACAGTGAGACCCTGTGTCAAAAAAAACAAAAATAAATAAATAAATAAAATAAAAATTATTAATAGAAAATGAGAATATTCTCTTCTGTAAAATAAGGAAAATAATACCTACTGTACAGGACCCTTATGAAAATTAAAACCTACAAAAAGCTGTTGTCTCTGTGCCTGACAGTTATAAGTGCTCCATGCAGCCCCACCTTTGCTTCTCTGGAAGGCATGCAGCTGTGCACCTGGAGCACCCTGGTTCATTCTGCATAGGTTCACTTCTTTGGACTTCTCTTAACAATGTCAGTGGGGCATCAGGGTTTGGGGACCCTCAGAAGCCGGAGTCTTGTTAACACAGATAAAATGTGCCAAGCACTTTCAAATACAGCAACACCTTAAAGGCACTGTCAAGAGTTGATCCTGATAAGTTTGTGATAATCCAAACATTTAATCATATATTTGAAAATGCTCTCATGCATGGTCATTCTCAAGTCTTTTTTACCCTCAGTGTCTCTTTCCATTGTTAGCATATTAAATCAACTGTAAAACAGAGTGAAGTGGAAAAGTACAGTCACATAGCCGGGTTTTGTAGATAACTAAGATTCATATCAAATTTTATAGTTTATAGGTGCTTCCATAGCAATAGTTATAGTAACAATTAGGTTATAGTACAGTATCACTATTATTATCTCCATTATGGGAATCATGAGATTTATTTCATAAAAGCAAAATGACTTGCCTAAAGTTGTTCTCTAAGTTGGAAAGAAAAAATATTTTTTTCTAAATAAGAATAAAGGGTAAACTCACTTCCAGGGAATTACTGATGTGATTAATCAGGAAAAGGCAAATTCATTATTCTGTGACAATAGGAGACCAAGTTAGAGATTCTCACTATATAATGCAACGAACTATAGCAATTTAAAATTGTTATCGAGATGGATAAACTATGAAATCAAAGCTTAAGCCTTCAGTGTGCTCTGTAGGTAAGAATATAATTGAGAAATGGGTGATGTCATATTTGTGGTATTTAGAAAGAAGGTGGAACTATGCCACACATTTCCTAAGAAGCTCTACTCCTTCCTGAATCAGTGATGCCATCAATCTGGAGAGAAAAAGACACATTTCTCAGTTTACTTTCATTTCCAATTGTATGTCTGTGGCCATGGAAAAACTTCTTACCTGTAAAATCAAAGAGTTGAAAAGTATTTCTTGAGAAACCCATTTATAACATTGCCATAATTTTGGAGTTTGGAAGTTAATTCCAAACAAGTATGTCTCTGTTTGTTTTCTTTACTATGTCCACATTTGAAACAGTTGGAATCTTGGTAATAAAATCACCGTGGGCAATGTTAAAACTATTATGGGGATAGGGAGGCATGGAAGAAGTAATAAACTGACCTGGTAGAGGGTGTGTTTTTTACACCTTCCCTTGAAATACTATTAGAAATTACAGATTAGTTACGTGTTGAAGATTTTCATGCCTTTCACACTAATTGCTAAGCTGTTTCTTTTCCTCCAGTAGATATGTCTTAGTTGCTGCCTAGACATCAATATTTTCAGTGGTTCCCAAAACATAAAGCCTTGAGTAGCTACCTGCCATTTGTCATAGATTGGCCTTACATTAACACATGGATTTTGATTTTTGCAATAATGATGATTCTACGCATTTAATTATGGAGTAACTTGACACAGTAAGATTTGGATAATCTAATTCCTCATGAAATTGAAGAGAATCTATTTAGAGAAAAGTCTTTTATATATGCATGGGAAACTCAATTAAACAAGGACAATCCAATTATCTCCTTTCATCAGTGTTGGAAGGGGTAACGAATGATCCTAGAATTTTCTGATGGGTAGTGTCACAGAGTTGGCTGTTAATGGGAGGTTGAACTGAGTTACATTTTAAAGTCCTTGGGAAAATGAAAAGAGAAGCTAAGCTGTCAAGAGGCATTTCATTCATTTCTTTGTCTTAGGTGATTGCTTATTTTTGTTATTGGAATATGTGAGTTAAGAAGTGGTTTAGGTCTTTATTTTGTGAGCACAAGAAGTGTACCAAATGCTATCATGGAACTGGTGAGGACCAGTGAGCTGCTTTATGAGTAGCAGGTATTACTCAGGAAGACTGAGCATCTCATGAGGCTGTAGCAGGAGGCAGGACTCAGGTAGACCAAAGGCCAGGGATTTGTTGCCTCAGTGACTTATCCAAATCATTCCATGAATAATAGGACACTAGCAAGTGGGCCAGCCACCTCCCCCCAGGGTATAGTTAGAGGTACCAGTGGTAAGAACCAGTTCTCCAACCAACCACCTTTCCTCCAATTCGTATCCTATGATGTCTCCAAGTTATTATTAGTGGGGTGGGAAGAATTGGGGGACTAAAAAGGTGCTTTCAGGGAAGTGTAGTCTTTGTGGATAGAAGTCATTCTTCCTGTATTCATAAGCTCCCATCTTCCAAAACAAAGAAGGGAGATCCCAAGATAATTGCCAAGAATATCTGCAGAGATCTGGGAGGAAGAAGTGATACATGAACTCTTGTTTCCCCAACACAGAGTCGGAAAAGAAGGATCTCTTAGAACTGCTGAGTGCTCATTGCTGCTGATAAATGCAGGTCAGCAAAAAGGCAGACAGGCTGAGGAAACAGATGCCAGGAACACAAAGATGTTCCCACCATGTAAAGTGGCAAGGATGTGAGAGTGGAGTAGACACCTGGACAGGGCCAGGCTACCTTCTGGAAGAAGCTTTCACTGTAACAACAGGCTGTTGGCTGGTGGTAAGTGGTCTGACCAGGGTCCTCTGCCCAGAGCTGGCCACTTTTCCATGGAAGGCCAACCTTGCCACGAATCCCATGTGTTCTTTGGAAGACGTCCCCCCCCCACATAAAAACACAAGCTGCAACAAAGCCCAGGTCTCTATGTCAGAGAAAGCAGTGACAACAGAGACCCACAGCTTTACCCAGCAAAGCAAGGAGGCCGTGGCTCCATTTCATTCTTTTTCCCCCCAGTGTTAAACACTAGAGCAACTAGCAGCTGGAAGAAAACCTGCTGGGCCTCTCCAAGACCCTCCCCTGGCTCAGTGACATGCATTCACAAAAAATGAGCTGGCCTGAGCTAAGGAAAGAAAAAGGAAGCTATCAGAATCCAGCAGCACTGATTTTAAATAATATTAAGTAAAGTAAATCAGACACAAGCCTAAATATGGCATGGTTTCTCTTATATAGAAAACCCCAGGATAAGTAAATTAAGGAGTAAAATAAAAGACAAATGATGGGAAACAAGGGAATAGATCTTTTGAAAATGAGAAGAGAGAGGGAGGGGGAAGAAGGGAGGAGAAGAGCATTTAAAATGTGTTATGGACATGTGCCAACTCCCCATGATGAATCTAATCATTATGTACTGCAAACTCGTACCTATAGAAATAAAAAGTGAAAACAAACAATGCTATGCCTTAAGGACTTTTAGACTATTTTAATAGCTAAAAATGGCTGAAAATGTTCTTAAAGTGGATTTACAGGAAGAAGTAAGATGTTTTCTAGTCACACACAATAGGTAGAGTTTCCTCAACAAACTGGGGAAAATAAAGCTGAGCATACTCAGAGTATAATGAGTCCATTGCATCAGGCAAAGTGAGTGTGATGAAGAAAGACGGGGGAGAAAAAAATGAAGAAAGGAATGGAAAGAGGAGCCCTTCATCTGCTTTTATCAAGGAGAGGGAGGTTGAAGCTTTGATAATGAGCACTGCCCTTGGTGGTGCCTGTGTCAAGAGGGTATCTTGGGTTTGCTGTGCTCCATCTGATCGTTGAATGATAAGTGCAGCCGATGGCTGCTCTCCTTCGTAATTGTCATTTAATTGTCTCCCCCTAGATGGAATGAATGTGCACACTTCCTTTCATCATCAAAATCTTTAATCATCATACTCCCTTTCTTTCTCTAAATGTGATCTCTTTGCCTCCCCCCCAGTATTTTAAAGGAATAATTTTCTAAGTTTTTTGTTTCTCTTTATATGCATATCATTCGATTTCATGTGTTGAATGTAACAAGCAGTAGATAAATCAATACCACCTAACACATCTTCAAGAGACGAGATTGTTTTTGAGATAAGTTTCCCTAGACACACAAATAAATGAAT